CTAGTCTCTTGTATCTTGGAATCTAAGCTCTTTATCATCCGTTTCTATTTCTGTTAATCATCAGGAATATGTGAGGAAGTGGAATTATTGCGCATTTCCTAAGAAGAATGTCAATCATATTTTTCTGCTTTCTTCATCATGGTACCACACACACCACACACACAGACATGCACGCACATGCACACACAGAGTCTTCTAGGTTTTATCTTTGTTCTAAAATGAACCATGCACTTAGACTCACTTTTCCTTGTTTTCTGAAAAAAAATGGTTTCCTAAGATAATTATAATATTTGTTTGTTAGAATTTTATTATAAAACTTCTTACTTGAAAAGGTGTCTTGGATGTTTACTATCTTTAATGAAGAGAATTTTGCAGCTAATAAACATGTCTGGCTGCCAGAAATCTCAAATAAATAAAACATTACAGTTCAACCAATAAAAATAGATAGGAGATTTTCACCCCACTACCACTGTCTCCTTTTGCTGTAGCTACCTCCACACTACCTTCACACCTCACGGCTGAGACATACTATCATGTTTCACATACAAGTGAGCTTCTTAATTTGTGTTTCCAATTGCATTATTTTAATGCTAATGTCATCTTAGTAAGATTTTAGAGGAAAGTAAGACAAAAACATAAATAATATTTATGTTGTATAAACATCAGAGAGTTTTAAGAAAAATATCAAAGAAAAGACATGGATATTGTCACCTAGAGGTGAGAGAGTAGAGAAAAAATTAAAAGTACATTGTGTCAGTGAGCTTTCCAGGAATGTGGCCTTGCAAATCGGTATTTGTCTGATGAATTTAGAGCCTTGCAGAGTTACCCACTTGCCAGTATTTTATACACAGATTCATTAAAATTTCAGATAAAACTTAACAGTCTAACATCAAGGTTTTTAAAATCTCCTTTATTTGGCAGAACCAGAAATTTACATTTCTTAGAAGAAAAAAGGGCAGTTTGTGCATTAAAGACACCATGGTGTTGTGGTAGCTCACTTCAGGATCATTTCTTGGGAGAAGAGAAATCACAGGGAGCAACTCCAAGAGCACAAGGCTTAGATTAATACCACAAAGAGCCAAGCTGAGCGCCTGAGGTTTTAAAGTCTAGAAAAACTTGAAGTGCAGGAGTTCCCTAATTTTTATACAGTAAATTAAGAATTATAATATAAATTCTGTCCTAAAATATTATAAAGCTCCGATGAGAAACGGACATATGATAAGACGAGTGTTTCCAACGTGGTGTATCACTTTCATTAGAGAGAAGATATCTGGACTCGTCATTGGGGCACGCCTGTCCCCCAAGAGGCGGGGTTGAGCTTTGTCTACTTCCTGTTTAACAGTCATAATCTCATTTGGTCGCTGAGACTTTACATGGTTCTTCCCTCAATTACAATTTCAGCTTCATGTGTGCAAATGCTGTTCTCTAGTCTCCAAACAATCCCTTCATAAATATTATTAGATCACTGAATGTGAATCAAAGGTCCTATTGAATCATTACTGGATTCTCTGAAGTAACCTTATTTTGTATTTTGCAAGAGATTTCAGTTTCTCCATTTAACTTTGTTAGATTAAAACTAGAATTCACTACCTAAATTCCTTGTCTTTACAAGGATTAACTTCACAATATTTTCTTATACATAATATGGACACTGTGCTTAACCTAATTCTGCATTCGATCATTTAAATAGTAGGCCCAAAGTGTCACCATGGGTGGAAATCCGCAGTTGTCACAGTTACTTTTCTTTACTCTTTTTATAACCTTCTGTCTCCCACAATCTTTTGGCTGGTGTTCCCAGTTCCAAAGAGTTCCTTGAACATGTAAATAACTACAATCTTGTTAATGGGTAGCAGTAAAAGTTTCAAAGCAAATTTTTATTTCTATTGAAATTCATTTTTCTCACCAAGTTATAACCTTCTTAGATGGCTATATTGCTTCTTTATGTGTACATAACAGAAAAAAAGAAAATACATGACTAATAATTATTGCTAGATGTTTGCTAAGTGGTTTATAAATATTTAACCCATTTAACCCTTGCAGTTAATCCTATAAGGCAAACACTACTTTATCTTCATCTTGGAAGAGAAAACTAATGGATGCATTGATCACCGACATTGCCCAAGTTACTACAAGCTGGTACAAAGTAAGGACAAGTTCTCAAGATCCAAATGCCAAGCTTTCAAATTCGTCTTCTACCACCTCTGTTTTTCTGCCTCTCGAAAATGAAGGGCAAATATGTGGAAGAGCCATGTACAGCTTCACAAACCAGCATTCTGTTACTCATGTAGGAGGAGCTAACTGTACACATGTGATCCTGTTTATTTATGACAGCAAATCGTTACCCTGGAGGGAGGATGGAATATATGAAAATTGGGCATGGTTTTTGCTATCCTCATATTTTCCCTAATTACTCATTGATTTCAAATAATGTCATTGCCAAGGCAGAGAAGTCATCACATCATTTGGTCTGGCGCTACTCTTTCTTTTTTCGCTTGCCCCTAGCTGAATATGCTCTGTGGACACTAGACTCGTTTTTACCCAGAAACATGAAAGTCTCAAAATTGCATGGCCAAGTCTTACTAAAACTTACCACCCTGAACTGCTTACTGTATTACTTATGTTTCAGCTCAAGTAAATTGAATTAGAAGCATTTTCTTGATAACACACATCTATATCAACAGCTTTTACTACGAAAGAATGCAAACTAGGAGGCTGATACTAAAGTCCGGTGATGAGTAGGCCACAAACACGTGTGGGCTGCCCAGGAGGCAGCAGAGATGGCTCCATGCAGGCACAGGCTTGTCCTCTGCTGGCAGCTTCCTGTCCGTGGGCCTCACTCATAGGAAGCCCAGCACTGGCGCATCCCTCATGTCTTTCTCATGGCCATGTCAGCAGAGCCAGACAATAAGCCCTGTACAGCAAGAGTTTTCTGCATCCCGCTGACCAAGTAATGGACGAAACACAACCAGAATCTCTTGAGGGGAAGCTCTGACAGCCTCATGGCCCACGGTGTGGACAGAGCAGGAAGGAAAATGGAGTTTGGGATGTAAGTCCTGAATATAACCTCTCACATTCTGCGTCCTCTTCTAAGTTTATTTTATTGCTAACAGATGCTAATTCATGAATATAGGTAGGTAGATAGATAGATACCACCAAAAATGAGCAAGTCATGTCAGGAAAAGAAAAAATTGTAAATATTTTAATACTAAGTTTATTGAGGCATCATGGGATTAATGCAAGTTACCTTTGGCCTCTGCAATTACAAAAGATGCTCAGAGTGGTGACCATTGGCTCCCAGACATTTATTAGTGTGGTGAACTGCTGCTTGGGTGACCTTGGCATTGATATTGCTGCACATGCATTTTCAATTTCTTCTCTAAGTGTGGCAGGGTTTCTGTGATATTCAACATCATCTAGGATTTCCCATTTGAGGGTAACACCATCTGTTGAATAAACACCATACTGTTTTCTCTTCCTGAAGTATGTATATATTTCTGGAGGACTCTGTAAATATATTTGCTATGTTAAATATATAATTATATTAAATAAAGTATAATGTATAAATCTATAACATATTTGGTTATATAATATATAATATACATTGACCTCATTTAACTTACATATGGCTATCTGTCTCTTTTATACATGTCTGTGTATTCAAATTTATTATTTCTTTGAGCGCAATTTGTGGTTTTCTGTATTATACCTCAGCAAATAGTTTTTTTATATGTATTACAAGTTTATTAATAGCTTTAAACTCTAAGCTATTATAAAATTGATTAATAAAATGGCAACATTCATAAAGCAAATTAAAATAAATATTTATTACTCTTTCTCTTAAAATATACCATAATGAACTGGAGGAAATAAATAAACTTAGAAAATAAGTTTCTAGGGTTTTTTTTCCCTAAAACCCTTTGCAATTCCCAGGGCACAGCACATTGCCTGCCACAGTAAAGACATGGGGATTATTTAAAGGGTGGATGATGAATAAAATAATAGAGGATAACCGAGTTAATGTAAGTACTGTACAGTGCTGATAATGAAACTGCCAAGTCTTCATATTTCTCCTTTTAAGGGTGGTGGTATGGTGCAGAAAAGAATTGTCCTTTCTAGCTAAGAAAAGTCAAGTACTCTGGCAGAATCATAAACCTAGAAAGGGAAAGAGGCAGGGTAATGCTAAACATCTTGCAAATCTGAAATCATTGCTCTTTTCTTGGACTAGCACCGTTCTGCCATTTGAAAAGGTAGAAAGATATGGTTGGACACACAGTTAAATGGAACTAAGACTTGAAAATAGAAATAAAGTGAATTCTGGTGTATTAATCACTTGGGTTGCCATAAGAAATCACTACAGACTGCATATGTAACATGAATTTATCTTTTTCACAATTCTGAATACAGGCAGCACCAGATTTAGATATTTAGATTTAGTTCCTAATGAGGATTCTTCCTGGTTTTGCCACAGTAGATTTTCACTGTGTCCTCATGTGCCTTCTCCACTTTGTAATAAGACAGGAGGGCGGGGAGAGAATCAAGTCTTATTTCTCCTCTTAGTAGATCCTAGGTCCTCTGGGAATAGGACTCCACCTGCAAGACTTCATTTAGGCTTAATTACACCTCTAATGGCTCTGTCACTAAATACAGATCTGTTGGGCATTAGGATTTGTATATGAATCGAGGAGGAGGCTACATTTCGATGTCTGGTGACTAGAAACATAACTGATGACAGAAATGACAAATACTTTCAAGAACCTCAGTTTGATCTTTGGGGAAAAGTGTTTTAGTTCAGGGAAATATGGAGTGTCTATTTACTCAGAAATACCACTTTCTACAAATAGATCAAATGACTCTGTGATACTTTCTTTTTAACCTGTTTTCTAAGGAAAATTTACAGAATAATTTCTTAAAATTTTATTCCTTGCCAATGAATGGCAGGTGCTTAAAACAGAGTGGGAGCTTATAAAATTTATTTAAAACATTTGTCTTTCACATTACAGGCCCAACAGCTTACGGATCTGGAACAAAAATTAGCAGTAGCCAAAAATGAACTGGAAAAAGCTGCTCTTGACAGGGTAAGTTTACATCCATGAACCATCACACTTTGGTTTTACAAAAACTGCTAGAGTGTGCTCGTGGCTTCCTTTGATTTATTAATGCAGTTCCAGATGCAGTGGATGTAAGATGATTATAGAACTCATGAACAGTTGATGTTCTCCTTGGATTCCAAATTTTCTTTGTTTTTCTTGCTGCCGCAGACCAGCTGCAGTCGATGCAGGGTAGGAAGGGGAGAGGTCTCGGGCCGGCGAGTGGGAAAAGAACCGTCGCAAGCAATGTGCAGGTTCCCTCTGAGAAGTCTCAGGGTCTGATTTATTTTTATATCTCTAAGCACTAGCTAGGGAGCATTGGGCGGAACATGTTTACATTTTAGGTTGCCTTAGCAACATCTAGTGAGGTAAGGTTATTTGTACTAAACAATATATTTTTCTAAGCTGATTCATTTCATTGAACATCATGAATACATTTCTTAAAAATCACAATTGTCCCCTTATTTTCCCATACCTAAGTAGAACAGAATGTAACTTAATCAAAATCTCCAGAGGGTAACTTAATTAGAATCTGTATAGCAGCGGGGGTACGAGCAAGATTTAATTAATTAAATGTCAAACTTGTGGTCACCAACTAGCCCTTGAGAAACTGCACAACAGTTAATATACTTTGCTGTTAGCTCTCTACCTCTCTAGACCTCTGTTTATCTTAACTAACTGTCATTTGGGTTCATAGTTCATGAGCAGGAGATATTTTCAGCCCTGTGAGAAATATTGAGTAACTCGCCTCCTTAATGCATTTACCTGTCCCAACTTTCTCTCTGTTTCTTATTTCCCACTATTTCTTACATCTAAACTCTGTCCTTTCAACCTCTTCATAAGACCCCTTTAGTAATAAGAAGGTCAGCAATGAGAGGGGGAGTTACAGTAGTGGGAAAACAGAGGGAGTTTCAGGAGAGGTTTCTTTAGGAGTGGATGTGGCAATAGAACTAAGAGAAACTGGAATTTGGGACTTTTGAGCCAGATCAGATTTCAATACATCATTGCCAATTTGCCTCATGGAGAGTTTGTTGTTAGTCACAAACACAATGACTCCTGTGACCAGAGTAACAATTTTAAACATTATGGCATGAAAAAAATAAAACATGAGGGTACGATGTGTTCCACCCTTCTTTTCCCCAAGCTGGAACTTTGTCAAGCAGCCTTGGAAGTCGGTTGGGCTTCGCCATCCTGCTACAATAAATTTTCTGAAATCTCAGTCCCTGTGAGTTCCCAACTACATTTTTTACCTCATTACGACATTGTTCTTTAAAAATCATGAATAAACATGCATGAAAGCATTAACTGAGATGTCCAGTATTAACTTCAGATGAATGAGTTATGAAGAAAGTTCAAGCAGTCACTGACATCCAACTGATGCAACTTGTTATCATATGTGTTTCTTAGAATTTGTGCTTATGTGAATCTACTTGCAAATATGCAGAGACATTAAATTATATTAATAATAAATCAAAGTCATTAAACTGCTTATTATTAGTACAATTAACATATATGGTTCATATGTTGTATAGATATTTTGAAATAGCAATCAAATGTAATATTTATAAACAAAAATATATTTGTCTCACTATTGTTATGTCTACATTATATAATGTTGAGTGAAAAAATTCATAATTGCATGTGTAATATTTAATGATTGTTTAAGTATGAGACATATTTTTAAAATATCCTATTATAAAGATAGATTAAATAGAAAGACACACATCAAATTCATAGATGCAATTACCTTTGCAGAAAATGAGTAAAATTATACTATGAATGAAAAAACAATCCACCTATTCCAGCGTGTGTTATCCTTTAGTAATTGTGCAGATAAAGAGAAATAGTCTTTAATTCATATAACTGCGTCTATGTACGTTGTATATATTAAACCAATGAATCATATGTGCATAGAAATGTGCATTAATATATACAATAATACATTTATATTTCATATGAATATACTATATTTATGTATGTGTGGTAATAACAGATGGGTTTCATAAAAATATGAAATATACAAAAATATATATGTAAGATAATGTTTTTAATCTAATATTAATATACTCAGGTGCCTATTAACTAATATTAATCATTTTCTTTTCTTTATGTCACAATATTTCTCAAAATCTATTTTTAATTGAGGAAGTTATACTGTCTGCCCTCAAGAGCTTTCAGTTTTTGTGAGCATAGCTTAGTAATCATTCTAGTGAGTAAATTAAGTAAGACAAATGCATTTATAAACTTATTTTGCAATAATACTCTGTATGTGTTTTGCAGTTTTGTAAATAAGAGCTTTCTCCTACTTAGAAATTTGTGCCAGGGGTCATTTTGCAATAGAAGAGAGCTGGAGAGCTGAATCTTCACTTTTGGAGCTATTCTGATAGGTCATCCACTAACCACTTCTGAGCGATCGATCTCCATCTTTCTCACTTTGGCATAGTCCTTTATTCTGATAGATCAAAACCTCACAGCTAACATAGCAAACGTAACAAATATTATCTAGAAAGTGTCTGGTAAGTGGAATAGTATGCTTATTACATGAATGCTAATGATAGTATTTTGTTAGGTTTAGAAGTCTGTGACAAATTAAGCTTTTGAATGAATAATCCAAGAACAACTTGACTCTTGCGATTGTCACATTGAAATTAACTTATCTCAGTCATCGATATTTGTTCGATTATAGGACAGTCTCATGGAGGATATCAAGAATAATTTTTATTACCAAAGTTTTATTAAAAGTTATTTTACAGAAGTGAATTGATATCAATGTATGCTAAACTCTGACCATATCCAACTCATGCTGTACAATATAACTTTTTTAAAAGGTTTTTATCTCTTTATGAAATTGGCTGATTCAGAAGCCCAGAGGCACATATAATCCTAAACTTCAACACGACCACCTTTTGAGCAAATCTCTTCTCTCTGGTTCTTACCACTCTCTTTGCTGTACAACTTTATGTCCTAAAACCTCATTGAATTCCTGTGATCCTGACAGGGCCTGACATCCTCTGAGATTTTATCTTCTCTTACTATTGAAACTCTCAATCTTACATGAAGTGGTTTCCCTGATGTGACTTCACAAATGCTTTTAGTTCTTCAAAGACTAACTAGTTTTGTAATTTTTTGTAGGTCTCTCTTATGTTAGGAATTATGGAATATAGAAAATATATGAAACAAAATCTTGGCTCCTGCATCTTTCATAATTTTCTTCAGCACACAACTGTGAAATAATTGTATCCTGAGCCATGAGCCATGGGGCACGAGAAGCACAGAGAATAAATGTATCTATTAATATGCTGAGCATATGTTTAGTCACAGAACCCAGCATTTATTAGTAGATCATAATTCGGCCAGAATTCATAATCACAGAATTCACGACTAAGGTACAGCGTTTCTCCATCCTTGGGTTTTAGGCTTTCCTTTTGCTCAATTCCAACCCTGTACAACCACCAAGTACCAGTGCCACCTCTGCCACAGTCTGGACTTAAATTCCTTCGACCCAGAGGGGATCGGTACAACTTACTGTGTGAGGGTGATTATAGGAGAGAATTCTGTGCCTCCAGAAAGCGCAGCACTGGGAACAAGGTCGGAGACCTTGTAAGATCGGGTATTGTTACCATGGGTGGATGAGATCTCTGAGACCCACTCTCTGAATGACAGTTTCCTCTCTAACCTTTAGGACTTTCGTCATTCCTTTCAGTACAGTGGACTCTAACAGCGTTTATTATTACTAGAGGTCCATTTCAACAAATCCCATGGAGATACATATGAGGCACATACGCTATAGCCGTAAAGTCAGGGAGAGTTGCTAGCTCACTTCCAGATGAATAAAAAGTGCACTTTAATGTAACTGCACTTCTCTCTCCATCAACTCTATATGAGAATTTTTATACTCTTCAGGTGTCTAACTCCCAAGAGTGCTATATCATATCTTCAGATAACCTGAAACAACTCATAAACAGTATGAAATCTACATACTCACACTCCACCTTGGTTCTTCTGACATATTTAATGAAAGAAGTCTCAGTTTACTATCCTAACATAAATAATAATAATCTCAAGATCTAAGAATCAACCTTGAGTTTCTGAATGATCAATTATTTATTTGGTAATATATTAGTAATTGTGGTTAGCCTTAACTACTGGAATGTAAAAATGGCTTTATGGCATAGAAACCTGCCAAACTTTCACCTAAAATGTTTGTAGAGCACTTGACTCTAACAAAACTTCATCCTGGGAAGCATACCTTAACAGAAATGAGTGAAGTCAGGTGAACTTCACAGAATACTGAGTCTAAGTAATAACAGAATGAAAACTGCTTTCCGTGGAAGAAGTACAACACAGAAAAAGTATAATAAGTTGTTATCAATTGAGTATATAAATAAAGACCCACTTTAATAAATGAATGAACATGCTATTCAGGGTACGTGCAAGGGACCTGGGAACACTAACACAGACGTTAAAGTGTTCAATGACTTTTTAGGGTTCACATTGCTAATTTCATGGCAGAAATAAAGTAAAAAAAAAAAAGTCAGACTTCCAGTTTGTCAAAAGCAAACAGATGATATTGAACCATGATCTTTCTGTAATACTGTTTTTATATAAAGGGATTCAGATGAACAGAAATACCTAGTGAATTTTCGTTTGTCCAGACATTCTAAAGTAGAGTCTCAGCTATCTTTACAAGTTACAGCCCATTGCCATAAGAAAACACATTGTTTTCTCAGAAAAATACTAACATGCTCGCAGGTTGTACCTTGTAACCTTCCCACCACCATGAGATCACACATAACAATAATTTCCCCTGAAATATACTACTATTTTAGTATCTGAGAAAATAATTTTCTTATATATCTAATACACAGTATAATTTTAAAGACATTTTATTAACTGAATATCAACCTGTGCTTTCTTATGAGTTTTCTTTATCTTTTCATTTAACAAAAAAACTTTTCAGTTAGAAACTGGTAATGGTGCAGAAAATATACCAACCTTCAAAGATGTTGCATTCAAGATGGCAATTTCACATGATGGTAAGAACTAAATAAGATAAAATGAGGAAGATGTTAGAGACAAATGCGTCTTGGGGAGCATCATTGGATCTACGCACAAGAAGTAATCTATGAGCTGAATATATGAGCAGTGAGGTTGAATACTTAAGGCTTCTGTGGGCAGAGGAAACTGCTGTCATAAATGCTCTAAGATGGGAATGAACTTGGGACACTTGAAAAACTATAACTAAAGGACACTATGAGAGACAGGTATCTTAGGTAAGGAATTTGCATTTTATTAGTAGGTGGCAGAACAAGTGGAAAAGTAGTTTGGTGCAGCCAGGAGGAAAGAGAGCAAAAACAAGATTGACCTTAGAACAGAATACAATTTAAGCTTTAGGGGGACATACATGACACATGAGTTGCATCATATTTCATTTAGGAACATCTGTTCTAGCAAACTTCAAAGTGATCAAGGCCTGCAGCTTCAAAATTGAATGCACCTAGCATTCTAAACGGAAATGGAATGGCATTGTAGTGTGAAATCTTTATCTGGGTCCTGCTCCTGGAATTGAGTCACGCCAAATCTGAGTAGGACAAGCAATGTGCTCTATTTAGTTAGAGGTGCTTAATGGAAGTCAGGTAGAAAAATGAACAAGTTAAGGCAGGTTGCTCACAGCAATCCATGGTCTCTGGCAGGAAAAATCTCTAATGCACTCAAGGAATTGAGCCAGAATCTAAGAGGCTGCAATGCAGACCTGCAGTGCAGAGAAAATAAACCAGAATGGAAAGGTTAAGAATAGGTTAAAAAATAAGAGCACAGGTAGCTTAGTATTACAGCATTGAACAACGCAGAGTGGTGAACTCATTTTGTTTTGTTGACTCCTTTAATCTGGGGTTACCCTGGGAAGGTCAGGAGGCCTGCAGGAGAAGACAGTTGCACTCAATTTCAGATATTTTAGAACCTCACATATGTGCACACTCCCTTCAATCTGCACTGAAAAATGTTTTGCCTAAAATGTACTTACTAAAATTCCACCTTCGAGAGCATTACCTTGATGTTCATCATTTTGAACATCTGAGTTCAGGCATTACTCCAATTCAGACTTCTCTATGGCACACATACATCAGGCTTCTCACAGACCCAAATTTTAGATATCCAGTGTTAAGAGCATCCAAGAAAAATTGCAGCAGAGTCAACAAATATCATTGCTCCCTGCATGATCTGAACATTGAAAGCCGACATTTCAAAACCATATAAATGTTAGTACTTAGCCGAAACATGTCTGATTCTGTCATATTACTCTTTCCGCTGTCCCTCTATAGTTTTCAAAGGAGAAAACATTTACCCAACTCAGGACCATCTGGATTATTTAGCTACAGACACAGCAGTGTCATGTCCTAGGATTGTGGAGAGATAGAAGAGAAGGGTCTCTCGACATTGTCACGATGAATCCAGAGAAAAATAATCAGACCCGTGACAGCTCTTCTGCCTGCTTTTGGAAGTAACAAGTTTTCTTTACCGACATGCAGATGTAATATTCTCAATTAAATTTTCTTAAATTATTTCTTCCAGATCTGTTTGTCTATCCCTTCCAGTGTATCAAGAATCATGTCAATTGTTGGCAAACTTAGATGCATGTTAGTGATAAATAATATAATGGAAGCAAATACAGTCAATAATAAAAGTAACAGTGTAGAAGAGAGGCGGGGACATATCAAAGGACCACTTTTTTTTTTGCACCGGGGATCTAACTCGGTCCTCGCGCTTGCGCAGCGGGCGGCAAAACCACAGAGCTAAATCCCTGGCTCAAGGGGCCATTTTTATTTAAAACAATTTGAATTTCTAAATGTCATCATTGAACTTAGTCACTTTGTGCCCACTTAACAACACTCTTCTACCTGGTCCTTGTTAGCTTCTTACTCCATTTCAGACAAGTTGACGGAGCAAACATAATGAGAAGGAAATGCATGCCTGTCTTTTATCAGTCCAGGTACATTTTCAGTTGGGTGTATCCCTATTGCTTGAAAAACCATCCACCCAAAGTGAGCGATTTCCAGTTGACACTGGATCAGTAAACACAGTGTCAGGCTTCAGGATGGCTCTATGTCAGCTGTTCGAAGTTGACCCTGGGGGCTGTTTTGTAAGGAAATAGTAAATAGGAGTGGTTTCTATGTGAACTCACTTTGGTGACACAGAATATACAATGCATCTCTTTTCCAAGCTTTTGCTTTCTTTTTTTCAGAAAGGGAAACCAGATCTCGCTGCTGCATTGATCCATGCATGCACCGAAGTGTCAATTCCACATGGTCCAATTTGTCCCTTGATCTGGGACCCACTCATTGATGTCTTTCTTCTCTTTCATGGTCAAAAGGCAACATTCTGTGTTCCTAAATGGATGCTAATGTGGATTATCAGTTCGTGGCCCAGTTACCCCTTAGCTGTCCATTGGTTTTCCTGTCTCTCATCAGTTCAGTAATAGGCAATCTTTGTGTCATTTGTACTCAGCTTTTTATTCATCTTATTAACATGTAATGGTTTTAGCAGTAGAAGGTGGGAGATAGTTGGGATTTAGACGTAGATATCTACCTCAGCCTACCCTGTGGTCTAACTCTGAAATTCTGTGAAAACTTTCTTTTCTTTTATTTATAGTAAGTGGTATTAATAGTGCCAGTTTCACAGGTGTTTAAAAGCATAAAATTATTCCTTGCATATGAAAATGCATGTATTATTGTAATATACCAGTAAGTATTCCTATGACCATGTCAAGTTAAATTCTCTTTTTTTAGAACCAGGGATCGAACTTAGACCTTGTGCTTGCGAGGCAGGCAGCAGAACCACTGAGCTAAATCCCCATCCCTAGGTTAAATTCTGTTACCCACGAAGGTGCTGAGGCACTGACACCTGTATCAGAGACACATTCCTTTTTCTGATGACATGGGGAGATGAAGCATCTGTAGGGGAATCTAAGAAATATAGACGCCTTGAGTATGTTTCTTTGGCAGCAAACCATCACGATTGAAATTGTAGCAATCGAAGTGACCAGAAAGTTTTATCTCCAAATTTTGACCTTCAAAATATATTATTGAGCACATTAGCTCTTAGAAACAGATGGGGTTTAAATTAAATAGGATGTCATAATAAATTTATAATTTAGGCACTTGCATTTGAAAACTGGTAGGTGTTTGTACAGCAATGAGAGTAGGATAGAAAAATAGAAGTAGAAAATGATTCAAGCCTGATGTATAAATATTAATTTCTCCCCCCCAAAGGAGTCACAGATGAAAGCAATGAAAGAGACAGTGCAGCTCTGTCTGACCTCAGTTTTCCGAAACCAACCTCCGCCTCTGAGCCTGATCACATCCAACCCGGCCCAGGTGCCCCTTCCGCCCAGGACAATTGCAGGGAAGATCCCAGATGCAAGGACAAAGAGCCAGGTACGTCTAATTCATATTTTGAAAGTGATGTTAAACCAAGTGCAGTCTTTAAAGGGACATTCTCTGTGACCCAAATGGACCTGCTGGGTCATAACATCACTGAAGGACATGGAAGTATTGGGAGAGAACCAGTCTGAAAAGGCCCGTTGTCTCACAGAGAACACTGGAAGACCACCTTTTTATAGCAGTCTGTTGTTTTTATTTTTTTTTAAGGCAGGAGCATACAATTGTTAAAATGATAACAATATGAAAAAAGTAGTTAAAATATAATGTTTTGTATTATATTTCACTATGGAACAGGTATTTGATACTCTCTTTTGGGGTGTAGATGTCATCTTTACCAAACATTTCTTTTAAAAATTAAGTTCTTCTACAAAAAGAAGGGGATCAAGAGATGAGCGAGTAAAGAATTAAGATATGTTCTGTACATGTGCCAACTCCCCACGAGGAACGTAATTACTATGTACTGCAAATGTACCAATGAAAGAGAATTTAATGAAAAGTAGTATATTCTGCCTGTAATCATGGGATTCTTGGGGGATGAGACAGGAGGGTCACAAGTTCGAGCCTAGCCTGGGCAACTTAGTGACTTAGAGAAACTGTCTCAAAATTAAAATAAAACAAAACAAACTGCTGAGAACATGGCTCATTGCAAATCCTTGGCTTCAGTCTCTAGTGCTACCGACGCCCACCCACACACAAAAACACCAAAACCAAAATAAAACAAAACAAAAACCACCTAAGGATCTTATAGTAGCTGCATCCTACATTCACACACAATGCATTAAAAAACAAAATCCAACAAAACACTACATCTGTTTAATCAGATTGCATTGCCTGCTGGTCATCAGTATTTTTTTTTTTTAAATGTGACTTTAAATCTAGACAATTGAAATAGCTTTAAGAAAAAGGAGTTTTAGTTTCAGGTAGTGATTTTGAAAGGGCTGCCTCTCTGAACACTTGGTTTTAAAATGAGTAACATGGAAACTAGCCTGGCTCTTACATGAACACTGAGCCGTTAGAAATTTGAGACCTCTGATGGCAACAGACACCAGTGGAGGTGGCACATCTGGGACTCCCATAGTGCTTCTTGCTGGAATTCCCTGTCCTTGAAAGAGAGGGGTTAAGAAATATTCATAGATTAGGAAAATGCTATTTTACGAAGGGAGAGTCAAAAACAAAAATAGCAAAATAAATCTTATAATATTCTGTTTTTATCTACTACTTGTCAATTTACAACTGCATATTTTTAATTCGTATAATCTTACCACAGAACATTAACATATTGATGTGTAAAAATCATTTAAATTATTTCCGTTTCATTACATTATTATCTTTGGCCTTTTTATGTACTGAGGGACCTCTAAAATTTTTGAAGGCAATGTATTTCTCTTTTTGTTTTTCCTGCTCTTTCTCTGAAAACTATAGTTTCAATATGACTCTGAATATGGAGAGAAAATTACTAATTTTTACCATAACTGATTTTCTATGAATCAATATATCTATCATTGAACTAAAAAAAATTTGTCATTTCTCTTGGCTTATCAAAGAAAGTGACAGGATGGATTTAAATGAACCTGGCTTGGAAATGGATCATTTTTCAAAAAGCAATAACAGACAAATCCAGTTGTCTAAGATCATGCTCAATAAATCTAAGTAACCGTAGTAGAGAGCACCCTATTTTATAGGTTAGCATTAAATGCTTGTCTAGTGCTAATGTTTCCCAATATTCTTTATCTTTTTAACAGTGGCAGAAATTGTCATTTATGTATGCTTGGGGATAATCTCTGCGCAGCCACCGCGCATATAATATTTTTGAATCCTGAGTAATATAAGATGTGTGATTTTGTATAAGAAACACAAACATTTCAGCTACCGTTTAAATGCTGGACCTGACTTGGTGCTGTGGGGTCTCATTTCACTTCCCCGCTCTTTGCTCTGTCACCTCAGAGAGTTACTGGGAGGTGAGTACCAAAAATAAGGATGTTTTTCCCCCTTATTTTCCAAGATCTCTAGGCAATCACATCTCCTGTTATTTGCTATTTATAATTTTCAGTCTTTTTGTAAGGGAGGTTTGAATGGTTTTTCCTCAAATCTATAAAACACAGCTAAATAAAAAGTATAGTTGCATATAGGAAAAGATAGGGTAGCCCCTGGGAAATACTGTTTTACTTATTCAAGGATATTGGTAATACAGGCAAAATTTTCAGTCCTGTACTTAAATGTTTTTCTGTGTATTTGTGCACTTGAACATAAATAGTATTTTATATATATTTATATATAGACAGTGAATAAATATATAGTGGATATATAGAAATATATAGGAATATATATATATATAGTGGATTTAATGCATAGTGATTTAAAGAGCATAAGGTCATTAGAGAGTTTAAAATTAGCAGTTTACTGAAGAAAGCTTGCAAGTGACTTATGCATTGAAACCCATACCTCATTTACTGTTGTACTTTTACTCTGGAGAATGCCTGTTCATCTGTTTAGCATATTTTTCTGCTGGTTGACCTCAAGCCTAACAATTTCCCTTCCATCATTACATTTTCCAGAGTTGCTATGCCTACTTCTCTCTGATTTGAGGAAAGTAATTTTTACAGTTCTAGGAAAAACTGTTTACTTCCCCCAGTGCTGACAGCAGAGTGTGCAGTACTCTTAGACCTTTGTCACCCATCGAGTGCAGGGGTATGTGACCTCCCTCTCTCTCAGGGAAAATGACCCTGCTGGGCTCAGCCATCTGCTTCACATTTTCCAGTGCCCAGAACAAGATCTCTAGAGGATTCATTGGAAATGGCATTGACTGTGTAACCCCTTCTCACTAGAGGTGTTCTGTGTCTAGAAGGTAGAAGAGTGTGTGTGTGTGTGTGTGTGTGTGTGTATTGCTGAGTGTTTATTAAGTGCTTTGCATTCAACTAAATTGCTGTCTATGTCACCCAGGTAGCACATTTAATGGACATGCCCCTCACATATTGTACATTACAGCCCAATTTCTTGTTTCTAGGAAACTAGAAAAATGCAGAGGGTATTCTTGGTAGTAGACTGAAAGATCTTTTATTTTTTCATTTAAAAATTTTTGATTTCTAGAATTCCATATTCCAAATGTCTTTGATTAAAGATAAAGACAAGGGAATACTTAGTTCTAAGTACACATGAGATAGTGTATCTGTAATACCCATGTGAAGAGATAAATGCTTTTATTACAGATAATTATGTTTCCATCAAGAGATAAAGAGTAAATGTATACACTAGGAAATCTGTTTTACATTTTGCAAAAAATGATCCTAACTAAAGTAGAAATAAACAAACCAATGACGCTCAACTTCAGTGATCTATGCAAGAGATGACGGTGACCCTCAGTAAAGCACAAGATCTGGATGTGGGACACCAGGTGTTACTGGGATGTAACCCTGTCTTGTACGGTGCAGTTGAAGGAAGGGAGCCAAGAGTAACCCTCCGTGCCTACAGCCCTTCACTGCAGGAGTTGAGGTGTAAGGGGAAAGCCATGGTGATTTGTTTTCAGCATGCCAAGTGTTTGGTCTCTGTCATCAAACCAAGTATCTTTGTCCAGTATGTGATTATACATTTTAATTTGGAATGCAGGGAAAACAGTGAAGTTGAGATTTAGTATTCAAAAGTATCACCATAAATTTCAGTTAAATGGCAGAAATAGGAGAACATTATCTGAAGAGATTCTGTAGAGTAAAAAGAGATGAAAGCCACAAAAAATACCGAAAATGAAAAATAACTTATGGATGATATAATATATGTACCAAGAGATTGAAAATCTACGGTGAAAATGCCTCTCTTCCCCTTATCTTTCTCTGAGATCCCATGACTTTTGCATACTTGTTTTAATGGTACAGAATGCAGAGTATACTTGTGCTGTGTGAGCATTTAGAATAGCGCCTGCTCCAGGGATCTGCTTGAGCTGGTTTATAAATGCACCTGTTAAATACAAGCATTCTTAAACATGCATTGCGTACACCTAGAATTAAATAAGTTTTACTAAAAGCAGTGCAGAAAATACCAAAAGCTACTACAGAGGGCCATTCTCTGTGTTATTGAGGACAACATATCTTTTGGATCTGTACAATGGGAATGTTATAATGATGATGTGTTTCTGTACATTTTGTTCAGGCTTCTTTTCACTGGCAGTTCATTGGTAGACTGAAATGTGTAGTTCTACACAAGAATTTGAAACAAATCAGAATACCCTTTAGACACAGAGCTGGTGAAGAGTATACTATGCACACGCGTGCACGCATGAGCGTGTGTGTGATATTTAAGATCAAACTGCAGGGTATCATAAATAATATATGAATAAATAAGTTCAATGGTTTCATTTTTTTCTTCTGATTAATGTTAGACTTAGATGGAAAATTGTCAGAAAAAGCAAAGTGATTATTAAACAAAATATTTATTTAATGCCATTCTGAAAAATGCCTTTACTTGTATGGATTTTACTTTAAAATATTAAATGTGACACTGTATAATTTGGAAAGTATATAAATGTAGATGAAAGAACTGGCACTTTTCTTAGCAAGAGTTCTACAACTTTTAGAAGAAATTAGGAATGAATGCAGTAGTAATGTATTTTATGTGTATAGTTGCATAACATAGAATTTTAAAAAGGATTTGCTGAATAAATAAAAATCTTTTTTGGCCTATTTTCTAATTTTAATACCTTGCTCAAATTACTTGAGTCTTCTTAGACTCATTCTCTGTATCTGTAAAATGAAAGTAATAATAATAGTGTCAACTTTAGGAAGTTGTTATGGAAACCAAATAAGAAAATTCACAAACAACATCAGCTAATTAATAATGCCAGGCACTGGGAAAGTGGTCAATAAATATTTGAAATAAATATAATACTATCAAGAAGCCATTATAACACTACTAAAAATACTTTGATAGGATTTTAGTAGGATATTTTTTAATCTTAAATCCATACTACTTACTCATTGTATTGTTCAAATGTGAGAATTTTCACC